TCCATCTCACTAAGTCAGACGGAGCAGATTTCAGTGCGCTGTCCTTTTACTGAACACGTCTTTGCTTCTATCACAGTAAAACACAATTTCAAGTGTCAAACCAAAAACTGTTATGCAGTCCAACTGAAAAAGAAATTTTAACTTACTTTAATTCAGTGTTTGTTGCATTTTTGAAAATCCACCTTAGAAGATGCAGATAAGATCATTTTTCATGTATTTGAAAGTTGTAGGCTGGTATAGAAGCTTGTTAAGAGTATTTGACACACAATTTAAAAGAACACAAAGCAGATGGAAACGTACAGCTGAACTGAGGCACTGCTGATCATCATCTCATTCAGGGTGCAATCACAGTGACATTCAATAAATCTTGGTGAAGGCCTTGAAAGGCCCCAGATTGTGTCTACCTGTGTCATTCTCCACATTCAACCCTTCTCGATATCTTCCATTTGATCAGACACACTATAATTACTGGCTCCAGTGCGATTACTGTCCTTTCAAGGAGGAGGGGAGCACTAATTGGAAGCCGTCTTCTTTCCAGGCAGGTCTGATCCGGACTGATAGTGGGGAGTTTTTCATTGAACCCCTTGAGAAGGGCCAACAGGACGTGGAAGCAAAGGGGCGTGTTCACGTGGTCTACCGCAGGTCAGCCATCAAGCAGGAGACGGCCCAGCAGAGGGAGGACCTCCACAATGAAGGTACGCAAGTGGAGAGACAGTGATGTCAGTGGAAATAAAAAGGACTGTCTGCATTTATGACTTTTGACTGTGTGGGTGTGCACAGTGTATACAGTATGTGTAAGCACACTTAATAATAGCAACGACTGTATGATTGAAGATCACATCCTGCAGTGTATTATAGAGTTTCAGGAGGGAATTTTGTCCCCAGGTTACACATAAAACAAACACAAAAATAGAACAATAGGAAATAAGTAAACAGTGTAATGATACATAAATGAATACAGCACAGGCAATGGTTTTAGCTCATTTATTACATATATACTTTACATCACAGATTCAGATTCCACAAAACTAAGATATAGTATCCAGTTGTTTTTTAACAAGATTACTTTACAGTACGGGATACAACTAAAGGCACAACTGAGCTATGAATGCTCTCCCATTCTTTGGCACATTTTTTGTTTGTTTGTTTTTATGACCCACAACTTATATCTTTTATAACTTTTGTCTACCATCATTGTGATTATTTATCTCTATCCTTGCTTTTGTCTGTATGTGAGGCTGTGGTATTAGATTCAATTACAGTTTGGAAAGAGTTACTCTGTTTTCTGTTTAAATATATTGTAAATATATTGTAATGCATTTATCTGTTATTTGTATTTATTTAGAAGAAATTGCTTCTAAGGAGCTTTTCCTGGAGCCGGCTGTTAAAATGGATTTAACAGAACATAGCATTTATCTTTTATTCTCATTTTCCACACTGTACCTTGTCCAGTGGATTTTCTGGTATGTATGAGGTAATCTGTCATATGTCCACTTGTATCCAGCAGGCTTGAATCAATAAAACTGAAATTAAGTGGATATTATGGAGCACTGCAATAATCTGTAACATGGCAGGTTTTATGATGCATGAATGTTTGAACAAGGCAGTTTCTGTCAGACGCGTTCACTGAGTCAGCACTTTCTGTTAAATCTGCGGGTGTTCTTACCTTCATCAAGAAGATGATGTATTGATTTGTTGATTTGTGCGGTTGATTATGTAGCAGAACATCACAAATGTGTAAAAAACAATCTGTGAAATCTGACCCACGTTTGATCTACAGCTGAAAATAACCGGTGCATGAATCACATGATGGTCTACGTGCACTTTCATGCAGATCCAGGTGCAGATCAACAATCACTAAACATCTTCTATTATTATGCAGCTTTGTCGCGGATATTCTGACTTTGAGTGCATTCTATTTATTGCCTGTCTAGTGTTTGCCTCACGTGACAGAAATTCAGTTTTCACTTTATCGAGTCAATGTGCCAGATGTGTGGATCACCGCATCCCACTTTTATTTTCATCTGACATCACATCTCATCCTGCAAGATCAGTTTCATCTTACAGTTTGTGCTATGGCCTAAATGTGTACAATCCAAGTTTACACAATTTATGTCTTTTACTATGCTTCAACTCTGACAGACCTAGTCATAGTAGATGAAGTGCTAAATGACATGGATGAATGTTGTTTGGAATTGATATGACTCAGCTGGGGTTCATGCTCTGAATGCCCATATTATAGTTAGCCTGAATATGGAGGAAATACACTTCCAGCTCTGCAGGCCAATGATTTATGAGTCTGGGTTAGTCTTTTGACTTGAGATTGAGTGTCTTAGAAAATATAGTCCATAGCCCTGTCAGTGTTCCCAATAGATTCCTTGTGCTCATCCTGACACAAAGAAAGTAGTTTGTTTCTTTTCAGGTTTGACACAAGCATATATCATTTACAGAAGCTGAAGTAAGAGAAAAAATATTCCCACAGTCTGTTCATTCATTGATTTGTTTGCAGTGGCGGACTTTGTGATCGCAGACCTCCCCGCAGCCCTGGATCTCGTCGAACATAAACTGTCTGAATCTGAACGCAAGAAGAGACATGCGAAGAAAGACGACTACAACATCGAGGTGCTGCTGGCTGTGGACGACTCAGTGGTGCGCTTCCATGGCAAGGAGCATGTGCAGAATTATGTTCTTACGCTCATGAACATAGTAAGTCTGATTCTCACACAGCCGGCTCGTCAGGTTCTCAATACCTGCTGCTGGTTTTATGCAAATTCCCAACATGAAATATCTAGAGCTGCAACTAATGTTTACAACATCTCTGGTATTTTTTTAATCTGCAGCTTGTTTTTGCAGTTGTTAATAAATTGTGAAAAATACAGTTTTCTTAAGTCAAAGGTGATGTCTTTAAATTGATTTATCTGACTAACAGCCTAAAAGACAGATAAAAGCAGCAAAAATTAATAACGGAGAAGCCTGAGCTAGAGAATTTTTGGCATTTTTGTGTGAAAACAGTGACTCACTCATCAAATCAGTGATGACATTACATGACATTATTGGTGAGCTTAGTGGTCTTTTTCTGTTTTTATTACTTTGTGGATATGTTTTTCTCCTCTTTGCCCTCTCTGACATTAGACTTTGCCACAATTCTCCCCAGACCACCACTTTCTCTGGATGTTTATGGATTACTAAATGGGGGGAACAGCACGACTCCCGGCTCATTAATTACAGGTTCCACCAGCTCCTACCACCATAAGCTACTTAATGGATCCAAATCTCTCAAGTCAGATTTTCACGGGGTGCTGGTTTCACTCTGTAACAGTTACCATTTGGAACCTGGATGGTGGTCTGATCAGCTGCACTAGACCAATTAGAAAGTTGACTGGGAGCTGTGTAGGGCAGTCATGGAAACCAGTGCCAGAAATCTGCTTGCATGCCCAACCTATGTTTACATGAACTGGTGTGTTTATTTAATTAGGTTATTATATTCACATGCCATCTCCAAATGTCTTCTACAAGGAGAAACGTGACCCTGACTGATTATATGTAAAGTGCCTGCAAACACACATTACGTAATTGTCAGTTCTCTGTGTAGATCACTGGCATGAAAAGTAGATTGGAAAGTCCTGAGATATTAAATTGACTGAATAATATCCATATAGTCCCCTTCTTGCTGAGTAAATTTGATGTGAGAACCATACCACTTCCAGAAAAAGAGGTGCAGCTTAAACAAAGAGGGTCAAAACTCTTTAGTTCCCCTCGTAAGCCATAGGCTTGCTGTGTCTGTAACAGCTCTGCCCACTCAAATCACTCTGAATCCCTGCTCTGTGGCTGCACAACGTGTAGTACCACCTGGAGAAACGCTCCCTGAGGGATTGATTATGAATATCCTGTCTGCATAAAGCCAAGGTGACTGCTGAGGTTCCTGCCGCACAATGGCCATGTTGTTCGAGCATGGACCAAGTTTTGTCCTTGTCAGTGTGATGCTGTACACAGGCCACAGAACCCTAGCGCCTGTAGCCCACAGCTGCTAATCTCATTTTCAGCTGAAACAGTCCAATTCCAACCCTCTGTGTGCTCCTCCTGGCTTTGTAATTATCCCTAAGCACATGGGGCTGCCCCATCCCTCAGCAGGACTCACCACAAAGGTTTTAAAAGGTTCACTGCATAGACCTGACTCCTGGTCAGGAGAAATTTTCAACTTCAGTGTTTACAAAAGTTATCATGGAACCTTTATATTGCTGTTTTTAATGCTACGTCTTTATTTTTCAACAGCATATCTGTTCAGGTCCAACATAAACACGTATATAGGTCAATATAGACCAGTCTAGGAATTTGAGCTCATAACAAATCTAGGAGCATTCGGGGTCACTTTTGTTTTCTTCACAGTGCTCTTTGACTTGAACTGGTTTCTGTGAATGGAATATTTACTTTTAAACGCCTTGGGTGTAGCCCTGCATCCCAGAGCAAATTTGGACTTGAGCCAAGATAGTCTTTCTTCACACACTTGTAGCTGTTTTAACAAACCCAGAAGTAGCACTCATTCATTTCTGTCTTTCATGAAGAAGACACGTGGTGTCTCTGGTTTTGGGATTTGACAGCATCATTGTTCATGTTAAATAAAAAGACACTTAGATCTGAATGTAGATGCTCAGTCGTTAACCGTAACACATCCTCTTGAATCAAAAAAGCAAAGAGTAGATATTTCATGGCTTAAAAATGAAAAAAAAAAAAAAAGCTGAAAACAGCTTTGGCACAGTCGACACTTCTGAGGGCTTTCAAGCTATATGTTTGTTATATGCCATCTTGGCCAAATGCATGGCTTGTTCTCCCTGTAATTCTGTAAATACATAGCCTCATATGCTTCTGTTGTTTCAAGGCTATTATTTTCATAAAGCACAGTAGTGCTTTTAGGATTTCTTAGCACCTGGAGAGATTAAAGCTTGTGCACAGAAATAATATTGCAACAGTTCAACAACTGTACTGTGCAATTAATGAAAAATTGGACTTTACCTCGGGGCTATTGTGAATTGTCCAGCAACACCAATTAAATAATGAGCTTTGACCGATCATTGTTACACATTATTTATTTATTTACTTACTTACTATAGCTGTTTTCAGCTTGTAATGTAAGTAGAGTTTAGTTTCAAAGTGCTTCACAGATACAAATAAAACTACAAAACAATTAAAAGCTGTATCCACTAATGTATCCTTCATTTCTTCTCTGTGCTTTTGCTTGCCCGCAGTATGAAGTATTACACATGTGGATAACAGGCTCGCATGTGTGAAGGTTGTGAATGTCACTTCCTCAGATTTCTGGGCACCAAGCTTAATTTATTTTTATAACTTTTTGATGCCAGTTGAGTTGCATAGTTACAGAAGTTATGATTAGCATCTCCAGTTTTTTTCAGTAGTACTTAATAAACACACATTCATTACCAAGTACCATGTCCCTTGGAAACTTCTGAGGTTAAAAATTAAGCCAAAGACCCCTGCTATGTTTTTCCAATGGCCATCTGAAAATCCTGCCCACACAAACATTAGTTATTTTCTTATAGACTGATTGTAGTTTGTGTGTATTAATCATCAGCTTTAAGTACAGCCATTTGCTTGATTGCATAACGTGAGACATTCTCAAACACCTTCATCAAATGCATTGTGTTCCTCGCCATCCTTCAGATCAATGACAGAAGCTGTTAATTTCCTTTCAGGTTGATGAAATCTACCATGATGAATCTTTGGGAACCAGCATCAACATTGTCCTTGTCCGCATGATCATAGTCGGGTACCGACAGGTGAGTTGTGTCACACACTTTCAAACACCTTTTAAAGTGAAGATATTTGGTGCAGGACTGGATTTAAAGCCAGACATATTGTCATATAAATGAATCTGTCGTCTTCCAGGTCAAATCATAACTCAACAGAGATTTAAACCTGTGCACAGGAAGCAATACAGTATATTTTACATTTTATTTGAAGGACTGAGCTCACCACTGTGGCTGAATAAAAAATAACAGAAGATGTTCCATCAACTTCCAGTGAACAGATATGCTGAACCATGTCCCAATTATTTTTGTGGCCAGAAGCAAGATTCAATAACACCCCACCCCTCCAAAATAAAAGGTTTAAATGTTGTCAGCAAGAATTGATTATGATTTCAACATTATGGAACTGAAATAAATAACCTGCTGCTTGTTTTAATAACCCATATTTTAAAAGGACTACAAAGGAGTGGAGAGTTAGCAAGCAGTAGCTTGCTGGTGATCAAAACATTTACAAAATTCACATTTTATTATACTTTAGGTAGGGATGAATTAATTCTGTTTTCTTCTCCTGTTGCTGCTCAGTTGTTAGCAGGAGTCAAAATTCAATATGTAGTAATGAGGTAGAATAGTGACTGATGTTGTCTAAAGACTGATTGCCAAAGCAGAGAAATGCTGTTTACACAACACTAATTAAATGCACTCGGACGTTGAATGTGTGGCCAGCCCTGGTTTCAATACCTACTGAGAAAAGAAAGACAAATCTTTTGCCAGTTCCTCTGGACACTTTCATTTTTCTTGGATTCACACACTGTGTACAAACTGTGCTGTCACCACCTCACTATTTCATCCTGACTGGGTTTTGCCACGGGAATTAAAATGATTCTTTTACAAGGTGAAAGACAAAATAAGAAAGGTTTTCCATTTCCAGTTTTATGGTCACATGTAGGTCTTTTGTATATGTGTGTTAAGATCCAATTAAACTGAAATTTGGCACAGTTTTTTCACATGAAGTGGGAGTTGGTGCTCCACTGGAGGCTGCAGAGACTTTGAGCTCCTGCAGTTTTTTTGATAATGTCAGTTCTTATGGTGCTGCAGCTACATTACAAAGCTCTTCAAGCAGCTCAGTTTTCAAAGTTAAGGGAGTTTAAAAACCCTATGATTAATTATTCTATAATGAATGGTAATAGATGTATAATCAAACAGCACACAGTTTTATTGAAATCATTTTTAAGATTCAATTAGACATTTTCAAAACATTTATAAAGGCACAGGCACAGTTCACAGTCTGTAATATAAGTCACAAAATTCACACAAATCAGCTAAAATTCTCACCTGTTATCTCAAAGGTTGCTGTGGGTTTCTCTAATAATGAAGCACCTGCAGCCTGTGAACTGCTGTTGCCCTTTTATTCTCAGTCTGATCTTTAATCAAAACATTTTATTCACCACGGGAGTTTTCCGCTTTTTTCTGATTGGCGTTTACATCCTACCTCGGGCTTGTGTTAGTGAGGCGCTACAAGAATGGACCACTGCGATGCAGTAATAAAAGACACCTATCGCTCTGTCTCCTGTGCAGCCTCGGGTCTCTGACCTACAGGCAAAAACTAAAAGCTGCAAAGCTTGTTGCTAAAAAAAGAGGCGGACCAATAGAGGCTTGAGAAAACTTGATGAATTAAATATCACATCCAGATTTCAGCTTTATTGCTTCTATTTACAGATGGGTGACAAATTAACAAAAACTGCTGAATAAATGAGGGGCAATTAAAAAACAAATGCAGGAGTTACTTCTAAATCTGCTGGTAATCTTTCTGATAATATGATTTATGTATCTCTTTATTCACAAAAAGTCAGAATTTGGAGGAAATGCCCATTTTGATTTCTAGAGGCAAAGCTGGTGTCTTCAAATGTCTTTTTCTGTCCAACCAAGTACAAAGATATTCAGTTTATTATCATACTATATTTGACAAAGAAAAGAATCATTTCCTTGCAAAAAAGATGATGGAACCAGAAAATATTAGTGATCTTTGCTTAATAGTAGTTGATTACCTTTCTTTATGTGAACTGACTAATGGCTGCAGCACTAGGGTGCTGAATGGTTTAATGAGGATGAAAATGAAGGGTTATGTTCTGGAAGAATGATGTTTCCTCCCTTCAACAGAGGAGCACTGAAGTTGCTCTGGAGGCACTTTACTAAAAACACTTTACTATAAACTTAGTTAGTTTTTCCTTTAATTTGTCCCCTATATGTATCTGATAAGTGGTGCAATGTGTACTGTATGTATTCTTTATTTTTGGTGGAGCAAACATTCCCTGCACACCTGAAGTGAGAAGTCTTACATTTCTATTCACAGCTTGAGTGTTTGTCCTGTTCTTTGTATTTCTGCAGTCTATAAGCCTAATCGAGCGTGGCAACCCATCCCGCAGCCTGGAGCAGGTGTGCCGATGGGCCAACACGCAGCAGCGCCGCGATCCCGACCATGCAGAATACCACGACCATGCCATCTTCCTCACAAGGCAAGATTTTGGTCCCGCAGGTATGCAAGGTACTGTATTCTTCTCGATCGAGGCCTGTGCAGACTGAGTGCTGATATCTACTTCCATTCACAAAGGGGTTGGCTTCAAGTCTTGCCCAGGTAAGGTCGATGGAAACTGTAGCTGAGGTCACAAACCCAGTCCTGTCATCAGCGACCTCACAGGAAAATGACTGAGTAGCAGACTTGACATTGATGCCACCCTGAATATGAAAAGCTGAAATTGATATTGTCAAAGAAGGTTTTTGGCATGTAGAGAAGAAACAGAACTAATTGTAAGCTTGTGTAATTTATGTAAGCTAACATTTTAAGCTAACAGTTTTTTAAAGTTTTCTTAACTCATAAATAATCAGTAGATAATTCTCAATAACACATGTATGCAATCATTAGGAGGCATTTTGTATCATACATGTTGTTCTGTCAGTTTAGCTTTTGTCTCACATTGTATTTCTTCTTTTCAGCACTTCAAAACAAAATTTGAAGTGAGCAGCCAAACCACCAGAGAAACTGGATCCAGAATGATCAAACATTCTCTGTGCTTTAATATCTTTGCATTCACCTGTTTATAGTTATAGCTTTTAAAGTACATATGACATCTTTAGAGAATCACTTGAGATACCTGGTTTGCTTGTCACACCTCTGGTTGTTGCCATAGCTACTGCTGTGTTGTGTTCATAACAAGCCCAGTTTCTATGGCACCTTGCGTTATGTTGAGCCAGACCCTGTGCTGTGCCTCAGAGTCACGAGCAGACATCACACTCTCTTGTCAAAGCTTAGCTGTGAGATGATAGATTCTATGTCCAAATACACATGTTAGGCTGTGGGATAAATAGAAGAGAATAGTTCAGTTTAGGGTGTAGCTGCAAAGCAAATGGATACAACTTAATCTTTTAAAGTAATGAGTTCATGACGTTCATAAATACACCCGTAATCAAATACTGTGAATGATTTCGGATGTTTTGATCTGTTCTTCCTGTCAGGGATATTTTCTGTATAGTATGTTTAGTGTCCATCAACCAGATGACAAAGACCATCTCTCTCCTCACCAATGACATGAGCAACAGAGGAAGATATTTCTGACTGTAACTGCTGCTGCTGCACCTTTTTGCTTGAATGTGCAAAGCTCTCAGTGACCTCTTCATAACTACATTCTCCTGAGTTCCTTTTATCTGCCTTTAAGATAAAAGGCCTTGCTAACCCACTGCTTTTATGTTTAGCTATTTCACTCATGGCTCACATCCATTTTGTTGTCATTTTACAGTAGGTCCATCAGCTATGTGGATCAAACCTTGGTCTTCATGAGTCATGAAGTCATACCATACTGTAGTAAAAACTAAAAAAATAAACAAAGCTCTGTGCTTTGACTGGTATAACTTTCTGCAGCCTTTCTTTTTCATCACTAGCCATCAAAATAATCGGATATACATGCCTTTCCACAGTCTGTGCCACCGGCTGTCTGTCTGCTTCTTTTCTGCTTTTTAGCTGCATGCCAAAAGGATCTTCTGATGGTCAGAAAGCATGAACGTTATCTGAAAGCCGCTAAAAGAAGGCTGGGACAAGAGTGCTTCTGAACCAAACCAAACGCTCTAAGCTGAATCGCTGCACACCTCTTGATCGAGTTTTATTTCATGTTTGTGCTTTGCTTAAAAGTTTGTTGTTCTGGTTAACAACTGTAGTACCAGGCAGATGTCTGTTGGCAAGCTAGTGAGGAGATGTTCAGTACACAAGCTGTCACATGGGAACCACATGCTAATGCTATAGTATCTGCTGTTCATTAGTGGTGCTTGTAAGAAGGGTTTAATACAGTCATAAAGTCTTTAGTACTTCACGTCCTTGGCGAGGCACAGGCCCAAGATGTTCGGTACTTTATAATCACTGAATGCCGTCTGACTCTGAATGCAGACTTACTGCAAAGATCACTGACACTGCATTACCCTTAAAGGAATGCGTTTATGCGGTACATCCTGTACACTTAGAAACATTTAGAAGAAACATTTACCCATACTTCAGTGCGTGATCCATTACATGGCTTTCGGGGGAGTTTGTGTTTTTTCACTTTTTTGTGGTCAGAATAAATGACAGATACAACATTTAATAAAGCACATAATATTTACCATTATCCCTATTGATAAGAATATGAATATTAATAATAAAAAAACAGATGACAACTAACCAGTGGTGTGTGTGTACTGTATATCAACACCATGGAGACATGGAAGGCAGTGAGGGGAGAGAGAGAGACCATTTTACTATGTGTACTGTCCTGTGTGAATACTGCATGTACACTTTTGTAGGTCTATTCCTCCATATATGAATTACCTATTTCACAAATGTGAGAAGGAAAGGCATGCACCTCAGACTGACTGTGACACTTTAAACTTAAGCTGCCTTGATTTCTTTTTGACATAATGTTACCATATGATTTGTAGCCTAAATGAAAAACTGCTGTTCAGGTGTAGACTGAGTGAGAATGTTTGCTCTTCTTCTTCTGTTTTGTTTTAAGGCAAGAGAATTTGTTTAAAGTGAAGTTCACCCTTATGCGTAAATCATAAAACAATAATAGCATAATTTCAATCGTGATCCACATGATGAAGATGCAGAAAAACAGAAATACATGGCAAAATAACATTTTGTCAGTATTTTACACTGAACCTCCCAAACCAACATTTTCAGAGGAGCTCATATCTTAATGCTCCTCCTTATTTTGCACCATTCCTTGCCTGTAGATATATGGGTTTTTTAACTGAAAGAGACTAAGCAATTGTCATAACCTAATATTAAAATGTACTTATCTGAACTCCAGTGTCAGTCTGAGAGTCAGCTGCACCCCAAGGAGGAACAAAGGTGTTCACAGTGACTGGAATTACATAATACACTGCTCTCTAACTTAAATCATGTCACCTCACATCAAAAGATAACTTTCCTGTATGAGAATGTCATGACATCCATCCTGGCACTTCATTATTGGGGCTCTGTGGTCTTTTCTTTTGCCCAGGTTATGCTCCAGTCACAGGGATGTGCCACCCACTGAGGAGCTGCACTTTGAACCATGAGGACGGCTTCTCCTCAGCCTTTGTGGTAGCTCATGAAACCGGCCATGTGTGAGTAATGGCAAGATGATGAATGGACCGGCAGAGTCTCACAGGGTCTGCACTGCATCCAAATAAGCCTTTTTGCCTGATAAATTTAGTCTCTAACAAAGGCAGGGTCCTTTAATGGGTTTGTTGTCTTACTGTAACAAAACATCTAGTTGCTTCACCGTGTGTGCAGACTCAACACGCCATCCAAAAGTATTAACATATGCTTATGTTAGCCAAATGACACCTGCACTTAAAACAGCCAAATTTATGAATGTAAATTACTCTTAAAAGATACAAAATAAATATTGACAACACACTGTAAAAGCTTGCATCTCCACCATACCTGTAAAACTATGCTCACCCACTCATTTAATCAGAAGGAAATCTGATTATTTATGCTCTTGTGGAGGGTTAGAGTAGAAGATTAATAATGGTCTAATCAACCACCAGCAGCCAGCTAACTTACCCCGGAGCTAGCCTGGCTTCGCCAGGTAGCAAAATCCACCTACCAGCATTTCAAAAGCTCAGTCATTAACAGGCTGTATCTTGTTGGAGTTTTATGTCCATCAGAATGAGTGCCGCTTAAGTTGACTT